TGGGGGGGTGGGGGGGGTGGGGGGTGGATTGGAGGGTGTATCTTGCCCAAAGGCAAGATATCCACAAGCTTCAGTTTCCTATTTTTAAGTGTGTATGTGTGAAATTAGATACCTCAAACAGTTAAGAACCTATTCTATCAGTATTCATTAAAAAACTATATAATGCATGCAGATATTACTTTTCAATTCTTAAATTATCTACAGATAAATCCTGGCACCAAACTTTTGCCTTTGAAGGATCTCTGCTTACAAGAACCAAGTGACCAACGTGCTATACTCTTAGTTAACAGTAAATTTGATGCGTGAGTCTTTGTGGGGAGGAGGAATGAAGGGAAGCAAATAATTTTTTTTGTTTGTCCATCATCATGTGAATACATAAAGGTTCCCAGTATGGTATGTTTTCTTACTTCCTGTATCTAGCACCACCATGAAAGTAAACACTGGTCCATAAACTCATAGCCTGACATAGTAAAGAACACAGAATAGTCACCACTGTGGTTTTTCCTTTGACTCCATGTTACCAGTCAATTCCATGGGCATTTCTGCAATCAGGGCTTCTTACCCTTCTGGCAACATGAAGTAACTGAAGAACGTATAAACAGATGGAGCAAACCAAGATGAATTGTTTACAAATCTCTAGAACTAAATCCAGGAATACCACTGCTGCCCAATATTTTTAATAAAATAAGGAGAAAATAGTAGAGCTAAAAATGAAAGCTTCAACAGCCATTAAAATGGTCTTGTATTCCTATATAACTATATAATACATTTTATGTGACACATTTTATAAAACTATTTCTAGTTCTAGCTCATGAGAAGCTTTATAATATTCATTTTATCTTATTTTAACCTCTCCTTTTTGCTCTTAAAATAATGTCACTGTTAAAAGTCAGCTCTAAATATGATTTTTCAGAAAAAAAATCTATTTTGTAGGACAAAGTCAATATTGACAAATTATTTTAATTTGTACATAATTTCAAATATGTAAAATTTTAGTTCTCCACCTCCATCTACGGAAGATAAGTCATCAGACATTGGTTATGGACGAAGTATTTCTTCTTCATCTTCTTTAAGAAGAGCAAGTAAAGAAAAGACCAAGTAAGAAAATGATGTTTTGTCTACACTCAAATAATTCTCTCCCTAATTTGGGAGTAAATAAGAAATTCAGATTTTAGGTTTTGGCAACTTAAATTTTATTCTTCTCACAGTCACACAATTTCAGGATGAAAGCCAGGAAACCTGGTTTGACGTTCTGTCTTCTGTGAACCCAGAGTGAGATCTTGAGCCCCTGACTCAGTGTCCATGATCAGGCTTCATTTCCTTATCTGTAGATGGAATAATGCCTGGTGCCCTGCTTCTTCTCGGTGACTGGGATCAAAACATATAATGGAAGTGAAAATGCCTTATAAATTATAAAATGCCTTGCAAATATAGTGCATTGCTATTTTCTGTATGATTGAAATTGGTTGTGGTTTCTTTCAAATGACAAGAGAAAACAGTTATCATTTTAGTGCTGGATTTGGATCTCCCACTGAAGAGAAATCAGAACCTACTTCGGGACGCAATACTGCTCTTAGCAAAAGCGCCACTAAAGAGAAAGGATCCAGGTAGAAACCTCCTTACTGTATTCTTCTCCTAACTGTAATCCTGTCAAGTTTTAATTACCCACAGAGAGGGTGAAAGGGAGGGGTGGCTTTTAACTAGGAAGCTCTTATGGAATCAGATGTAGGACTAAACAGGACTCATGAAGTATAATTAAAATTACCTTTATTTGTGTCTCTTGTTGTCTCTTTAAAACTTACCCAGAAGGAATTTCTTCTCCTGCCTCTGGGTGAGAACTCAGGGTACTTTGCTCACTGTAAATTCCTACAGTCAGTTTAATGCAGAGACAACAATGGAAACAGCAGTCTCCAGTCAGCCCTTTAAAAGTCCAACCACATGTAGGAATCAACTTAAAATGAACTTTTCTGCCCCCCCGCCCCCCGGTGGCTGCCTCGGCAGCCAATGAGCAGCACTGGCTGCAGGGTAAGCCTCCCTCGTCCCTGCCTCTTGCTTCCACGTCCCCTCCCCGTCTTGCCCACGGAAACCCCTGACCCTTCAGGAAGCAACGAGAAGAGGAAAGGGAAACAGGACCACATTCTGAATTTGGCTGGAACCATTATAACGTGGTTCCACGCTTTTTAGGCCTGGCATATTTTAAAACACTGTCTACATGTTTACATATTTTTAAACATATTCTTTCTCTTGTCAGCGCTTTCCTGGATTCTTCAAAAAACCACTCAGACCTCCTGCCCTGCTCCATGACCTGTCAATTATTGTTGACTTAAGCCCTTGAAAAACACTAGGGCGCTGGAGGCTATTTGGCACACACGTATATAATTGAGCATCTACCTTCTAAACCGAGACTGTCTCCTAAGGTCTCCTAAGGAGTGGTCTGCCCTCCTCCGCAGACCTCGGAGCTGTGTATGTTCTATTTCTGACTTTATTTTCTCCTGTCAGTCTCTGTTGCTCACTGTTCTGATCTCTGCTTCTGATCATCCCTCATCCTCTCTGCCCTCCTGCCCCTCCTCACCTCTTCCCTTCCCTTCCGCTCCTCACTTGGCTTCTCTTGTTTCTCCTCCCCTGGACTGAGAGTGCCTTGAGGACAAGAACATGTTCGGACTCGAATAATTTCTCTTTTCATCGCCAGCATTTAGCACAGTGCTTGGCTGGCATACAAAAGGCATTTGTGTTTATTCAAGAGAATAGAAATCTCAACTTTTTGCAGGAAAAGGTTATTTTCAACAAGATCCACACTTATAAACTGTGTCTCTTGAGCAAATAGGTTACCTTCTCTTTGGCTGAGTTCACTTATCAGTAAAATGCAAAACAAAACAAAACTGTAGTCTGGGGCTTCCCTGGTGGCGCAGTGGTTGAGAGTCCGCCTGCCAATGCAGGGGACACGGGTTCGTGCCCCGGTCCGGGAAGATCCCACATGCCGCAGAGCAGCTGGGCCCGTGAGCCATGGCCGCT